ATGTCCTATACGGCCATGTCGCCCAGTGCCATAGTACTGACGACCGTTCAAGTACGACGAAAACGTAAAGCAATCGCATCAACTAGACTCAGAAACACAACAAATGGATTCTATTAACAAGTGAGATATATTTTTTACATATATTGTTAATATTTTTTGAATTATTTTGTTATTTTAAAATATTATAACGGTTAAATATTCAAAATATATAGAACATTCAGAGATTGGGCCGCCTGTGGTGAGATTATCACTTTTATCAGTGCTCGAAATCTCTTTCAAAAACTCATTAAAATTCAGGAGGAAAACACAAAGAAAAATCATAAGCGTGTCGTGGTTTTATATGTGATAAAAAATCATGTTAATTTACTTAAACTTTAGCTTTGATTTTCTCGGTTTAGACAAAGTTTATTTTAAAAATTACTTCGCCAATGAACTCGTAAAAGATGAGTCGTTTTTGAAGCCATTTAAAGCACTTGTAGTCGTGTTTTATCACATAACGCGTTCCAAACTAAATTGGGATTTTCCAAAGTAGCATTTTTCCGCAGAATTTAAAAAAGAAACGTAATTATGCGGACAAGTCGCATTTCTGGCTAAAAATCTTATTTTTGTGGAAAAACCTTAAAAAGTAAATTCGTTCCGTACAATTACACTATTTAGTTTAAATATATCCCACATCAAAGTTCACTGATAAAATACAATCCTTAAAAGAGATTTAGAAAATCTGAAAAAGCTTTAGGTCCCAATATCGTAAAAAAGACTCAGAAAATCTGAACCCTGCAACATAGAATTCCACAAAATCATGCAAAAATGACAAATCTCGAGACATGAGGTTCAGAATTTCTGACCCCCTTACAAGCCAAATACTAAAGTGATTTCTGAAGGCTTTAGGCCCCAATATTGTAAAAAGGTCTCAGAAAATCTGAACCCTGCAACATAGAATTCCACAAAATCATGCAAAAATGATAAATCTGGAGACATGGGGTTCAGAATTTCTGACCCCCTTACAAGCCAAATACTAAAGGGATTTCTGAAGGCTTTAGGTCCCAATATTGTAGAAAGGTCTCAGAAAATCTGAACCCTGCAACATAGAATTCTGCAAAATCATGCAAAAATGATAAATCTCGAGACATGGGGCTCAGAATTTCTGACCCCCTTACAAGCCAAATACTAAAGGGATTTCTGAAGGCTTTAGGTCCCAATATTGTAAAAAGGTCTCAGAAAATCTGAACCCTGCAACATAGAATTCTGCAAAATCATGCAAAAATGATAAATCTCGAGACATGGGCCTCAGAATTTCTGACCCCCTTGCAAGCCAAATACTAAAGCGATTTCTGAAGGCGTTAGGTCCCAATATTGTAGAAAGGTCTCAGAAAATCTGAACCCTGCAACATAGAATTCTGAAAAATCATGCAAAAATGATAAATCTCGAGACATGGGGCTCAGAATTTCTGACCCCCTTACAAGCCAAATACTAAAGGGATTTCTGAAGGCTTTAGGTCCCAATATTGTAAAAAGGTCTCAGAAAATCTGAACCCTGCAACATAGAATTCTGCAAAATCATGCAAAAATGATAAATCTCGAGACATGGGCCTCAGAATTTCTGACCCCCTTGCAAGCCAAATACTAAAGCGATTTCTGAAGGCTTTAGGTCCCAATATTGTGAAGGTCTCAGAAAATCTGAACCCTGCAACATAGAATTCCGCAAAATCACGCAAAAATGACAAATCTCGAGACATGAGGTTCAGAATTTCTGACCCCCTTACAAGCCAAATACTAGAGGGACTTCTGAAGGCTTTAGGCCCCAATATTGTAAAAAGGTCTCAGAAAATCTGAACCCTGCAACATAGAATTCCACAAAATCATGCAAAAATGATAAATCTCAAGACATGGGGTTCAGAATTTCTGATCCCCTTACAAGCCAAATACTAAAGGGATTTCTGAACGCTTTAGGTCCCAATATTGTAAAAAGGTCTCAGAAAATCTGAACCCTACAACATACAATTCCGCAAAATCATGCAAAAATGATAAATATTAAGACACAGAGTTCAGAATTTCTGAACCCCTTAGAAGCCAAAATACTAACGTGATTTCTGAAGGCTTTAGGCCCCAATATTGTAAAAAGGTCTACGCGTCGTGTTTTATATGTGATAAAACACTCCTACGCGTGCTTTAAATAGTACATAAAGCACTATACTTTATATAATAAAAATCAATAAATAAAAAAATAATTCCTAACATTTAATATTTCTGTGATTTCCAAAGTGTCACAAACCGAAATAAACATATTTCTCCACGAACAATGAGTGAACCCTTGAACTGAATGCGAAGTTCCGTTAAAATGCAATGAAATTTCTTTCAAGGTTCTATTTGTTTGAAATTGGCAGTTTAAAATGGCACTAAAAACCCAATATAAACTATAAAAAACTTAACTGTCTTGAAATATTTTGTCGGGCGGTACATTTATATTGTATAACAAAATATTTTCACGCGGCTCTTAAAATACAGTCGGGCGGTGATGAGAATCAAGGAATTTATTTTATGTGGCCTTAAATAGCTTGTATTGTATAATTAAAAACCGGTTGCAGGTAGATGTTTTGGTCAAAATAGTATTATAATCTTCATGGAATCTTATATTAAGTTTGCCAATGATTTTTGCATGGATTTGAAATATTTAATCTATGGCGCTTTCCAGTTTTGTCGTTTGCGAGGAAAAATTTGATTCTCTCGCTTGGTTGGGCACATGTGGTACACGTTGTTGTAACAAGTTTGGAACAAGCTGTTAACAATGTGTAACGAGCTTGATGATATTATCAGACTTGTTACAATGTTGTTTTAACAAGTCTAATTGACAGTCATGATATAACAAGAATGTTACAAGGTTGACGACACAAGGTTGTAACAATATCGTTATATCATGACTGTATCGGACTTGTTGGAACAACCTTGCAACAAGTCTGATAATATCAACAAGGTTGTTACAATTGCAAGTTGTTAACAGCTTGTTCGCAACAGGCTTGTAGCAAGCTTGTCAACAAGTTGTAACAATGCTGTTATTTTATCAAGTTGCTACAAGGTTGTCACTTACAACTTGTTGATAAATTAGTTGTTGAATTGCAAGACGATAACAAGTTGTTGGAACAACTTGTAACAAGTCTGTTGAGCTCGACAATTGCAACCTTGTAGCAAGTTGTCAATAATTCAAGCCGTTAATTGAAGAATGCGCGGCACAATCCTCGATGCTACAAGGTTGTTGGGCTCAACAGACTTGTTACAAGTTGTTCCAACAACTACAACTTGTTATCGTCCTGCAGTTCAACAAGCTGGGAACAAGCAGTGCGAACACATCCAGTTGACATCTTGTCGGAACGGACAGGGCCGCCGAGAGGTTGGCGGGGGCCCGGGGCGAATTTTTTTTAGGGGCCCCTATTTCAAAATTTTTTCCGGAAAAATTTTTTTTCGGACAACAACCTCCTTTTTAGGTAAAAAGTTTTCCAGGGACTTTATCTCAATTTTTCATACCAAATTTCAGTACTTAGCCCAGAAAAAACAGATATCTTGTCCTTTGTGCGGAAAATTTTTAACGCACAAAAATGACTGGGGCCGAACTAAAATTTTTTAGGGCCCCTAGCACCTCGGGGCCCGGGGCAATTTGCCCCCCCCCCCTCTCGGCGGCCCTGGGAACAGATTGCTGCAAGTGTGCTGGAGGTTTGTTACAGCTTGTGCGTTTGGCGAACGAATTGAATGAACAAATGATGTGAACGGCTTGTTGACAACTTGCTACAAGGCTGTTGAGCTCAACAGACTTGTTAAAAGTTGTTCCAACAACTTGTTATCGTCTTGTAGCAACTTGATAAAATATAAACAGCATTGTTACAACCTTGTGTCGACAACATTGTAACATTGTTAGAAGAACCTCAGTGTAACTTTCTTGTTATGTCATGACTGTACTTGTTAGAACCTTGTAAAATGAAATCTGATAAATAGTGATAATACCATCAACAATATTATGTTACAACCGTGTAACATTCTTTTATATCACGACTGTATAAGACTTGTTAGAACAACTTTGTAACATTAATTCTTGTTATGTCATGACTGTATCAGACTTGTTAGAACAACCTTGTAACAAGTCTGATAATATTTGCTGTGTTGGTATAATGTACTCAGGTGAATAAGATGCTTGAGCCTTGTGTGATGTTACTCTGAGTGTATATCCACACCTAGCAAGCCTGAAAAATATGGTGGCCACCACGGTTCCCACCGTGGCCAGGCGGCATATTTTTCAAGCCTGCCCGGTGTGGATATACACTCAGAGTAACATCACACAAGCATCTTATTCACCTGAGTACATTACACCAACACAGTAAATATCATGATTATTAGATTACACTGATATCGAAGGAACTAGACTCAGTTCCGAAATATCAATAACTCGAACCGACCTGACCGCGTAGCTCACTTAGCAGAGCGTTGGGCTAGTATTCCAAAGGTCGTAGGTTCGATTCCCACCGTGGCCAGGCATATTTTTCAGGCCTGCTAGGTGTGGATATACACTCAGAGTAACATCACACAAACAAGTTGTTGACAGCTTACGGGGCTGATACTTTCCCGGGGGAGGGGCAGTTGAAAGCTTGCCCTAATTTTTATGGAGGATTGTAATGAAATATCCTGAATTTAACATACTTTCTGGTAGATCTGCCCGAATTAATTTCTTGATTAATTTTTCCTAGCATATGCACGAATTTCCATGGTTTTCTAAACTTGGGGGAAATTCCAACCTCTCATTACGCCTATGAACAGCTTGTTCGAAACTTATTGCAACAACTGGGAACAAGCAGCGCGAACACAAGTTGTTGACAGCTTGTGAACATACTTTGTATTGTTTTTTACGTGTGGCAATTGTAGCAAATTTTCAATATTAAACTTGGTTTTCGTGCATAAATGTATAATGGCGGGAAAAACTGCATCACTCACTGTAAACTCAATTAACATAAATTATCATAGTTTCTTATCAAATTTTAAATCATTCAAATTTCAAAAAGATCTTTGTATTGATACAGAGTTAATCCTTGTCACAGTCCACGTGTCACGTGTGCGACCTGCTGTGTTCACGTGGTAACAGCGTGTTTTTGGCGCCGGCGCGATTTGTTGTTGGCGCATAAAAAAATATTAATTTTAAGGACACGTTGCGTGCTGAAAGCCTGAAACAAAGCGAGCTGCTACAGCACAAGCGAAGGACGTGCATTTCTGTTTGAAAGTACAAAATTCAGGCTTAACCCGAGTGCTAAACGATGGGAGAAGTCGAATTCAACAACGAGGACGAGTACAAAGTAAAGATCGTCGATGGAGGCGAATATAAGGAGCCTGGCGGCGGCATTCGCAAACCAAGCCAAGAAGAGATTGACGCGTACAAAATCCATCGAATCATTGTCATGATCATTTTCGGATTGGTTGTGGTCATTCTGCTGTTGCTTGTTGTCATTCTTATTGCAACGACAGAAGGCTGTGAAGCGAGCGAAGACAAGAAGCTGCCTTGGTATAAATCAGGCGTCATGTACAACATCTATCCTCGCTCGTTCAAGGATTCGAGCGGCAACGGCATTGGCGATTTCAAAGGCATTGTGGAAAAGCTTGATTACCTTAAAGGACTCGGCGTGAACATCCTCTATCTGAGCTCCGTCTTCAAAATCGACAAAGATGTTGACTACGGCTATTCTGTGATCGATTTCAAAAACACAAACCCGGAGTATGGCACGCTAGACGATTTTCAAAATTTGGTCGACAGCGCCCATGAAAAACACATGAAAGTCATAATCGAGTTCGTGCCTTGCGATACTTCGATCGAACATGAATGGTTTAAGGAAAGCAGTAAAGGGCAAACGAAAAAGGACTGGTATATGTGGAACGATAATATCACTGGTCTTTCAGGAAGCTGGGCGAAAGACAGCTCTAGCGGGCGGTATTATCTTCACCAAAATGGCTCCTCAGAAAAAGCTTATCTAAACTGGAAAAACGACGACGTAAAAGACGAAATGGAAAGCGTTCTAGGCTTCTGGTTAGATAGAAAGGTCGATGGGTTCCGTGTCGTGTCAGTTCAGAGGCTATTTGGCGACAGTCCAACATCAAACGGTATAGTAGATTTATAGATATTTAAGACAATAATTTTTTACTAATGTTATCCTATTTCTATATTTTAGGCCACATCGCGACTTTACACTGTTCAATTCGGGCTAAAGAACGTGTAGTTTTAGCCCGAAATGTTTGTTTAATTTTAAAAACAAAACAACATGTGCTACTACTAGGAGTTGCATCATCCATATTGATATTCGATACAGTACAAAGGTTGAAGAATGTAAACATGCCTGATCAATATCGACCATAAATTTGAATCTTAATTATTTTTTTCTGAACAATTTCCATATTTACAATCACAATTTACATATAGGAATTTTTTCCCGTCTTTATCATTACAAATTATCCTAATTCCAGTCTTTTAGTTCTAAACTTAATCCTAATCCACAGGCGCACGGGAGCTTTCGTTGCATTTTACCTAAAGAATAAATAAAATTCCCCCTGCTAAAGGCCATGTTACACGGTGCAATTTTTCTTGCAACTTGCAATGCAATTCTACTCTCGAGAGATGTTAATTAGTGAAATCAGTGAAGAATTTTCGATATGTTGAGAAAACATGAGCGGAGTGTAATAAGACTCGTATTTGGCAATTTTACATCTCTCAAGAGTAGAATTGCATTGCAAGTATGCTTGCCCAAAGCGGACAAAATTACGAACAATGAAATAGCAAGTCCATTTTCCCAAATACCAAGTCCATTTTATAAATACCAAGTCCATTTTCTCAAATACCAAGTCCATTTTATAAATACCAAGTCCATTTTCTCAAATACTAAGTCCATTTTACAAATACCAAGTCGATTGTACAAATACCAAGTCCATTGTACAAATACCAAGTCCATTTTACAAATACCAAGTCCATTGTACAAATATCAAGTCTATTTCACAAATACCAAGTCCATTTTATAAAATAATATCAAGTCCATTTTCCCTACAAAGAAATTGTCAAAATGGAATTGATATTCGCGTGCGTGCAAAACAATGTACAAAACACAATACCAATTCGAACATGCTAATTAGGTTATAATGTATTCAATGAATGTATGATTATGTAGTTATTTATTCAACGACTGTATAATTATGCAAAGATAATTTATGCAATTGCACCTTAAAATGGCGGCAAGGTGGTTACCAAATATTGAAGAGTTTTTCGAATCTTTATAGCCATGCATTATTGTCAATTCACTTCTTACAAGAATGCC